TTAGTGAGAATAATTCTAGGATATTATTTATCACTAGAGATCTGATTGAAATATCCTAGAAATATATTTAATGGTATCGTGATGGTATCAAATATCACTTTTATGTACTCTTTATTTATGGGACAAGATCATTTCTTTTTATGGTAGATTAATTAAAAATGTATATATATATACATAATAGTGTACTATATTTATATAATAATAATTTCTAAATAGTTTCAGGAATTATATTAGTGAGAATAATTCTAGGATATTATTTATCACTAGAGATCTGATTGAAATATTGTAGAAACGTATTTAATGGTATCATGATACATAGATCGTTAATCAAAACATTTGTAATTATACTAATGTTTGAATATCGAGTTTCACTATATCGCTATAGTGATTTTAATTCACGATTTTGAAGCGATGTCGTAAAACTCGTATTTTAAATGGAAAAGCTTTTAACGCAATTTTCGTAAGTTATCATAAATCGAAGTTGGAAGTTATCTCGTGTATTGTGCGCGATCCTCGTAAAGATGGTGTAAATGTCAGAGGAATGCCAAGAAAACGGTTCTAGGAACTCTGAGAAGATAGGAAAGAGAGAGAGAGAGAAAGAGACAGAGATTAAAATGATATTAGGTGACAAAAATATTTTTTTTAGAAAAGTCAGAAAGTTCAAAAGTGAATTTGAAAACTTTTCTCAAAAGTAAAGTTTGGATTATGAGAATTTATCAATGGAAGTAATACCAATTATAAAATTCTAAAAATATAGAAATTTAAATCATATTTTTTTTAATTATTATATATTAAAAAAAAAAGTAGTCTCACTTACTTAAAATTTAAAAGAAAGTGAATATCTTCATCAGAGTATCTAATTTATGGTTATTCAAGCTTGAAAATAAGGAAATAAATTTTTTGGACGAAGACACATATATACATAAATATATATTTATAGAAATAATTTCATACGTTTTATCATAAATAAAATCAACCCCATGGGGATAAAATTACCCATTTTTTTCAATAAACAGGCTAAAATTGACTCAACAGGAGAAAATTCGACTATAAATTAAATCCTCCACCCTTCATCCAATGCCATCCAATGGCCGTTCATTCAAAGAGATAAGTGACACTATTTTTTGGACGAAATCCAGAGGACCGGAGGATTCTTTATTACCGAATTTTATACGTGACCTTTCGTCGTTTCCCATTCGAATCTTAACGATCCCCTTCCCTCCCATTCCCCTCCAAATTTCATACCATCATCCTTATCTATCCTATTATTATCTTTTATTCGGAAAGAAACATTAAATTTTCAATCGAAGAAAAATTGAAAAATTTTTATTTCTCCAAATTTCGAAAATTTATCCATCCGAACGGTGGTTCAGAAAAAAAATGTATCGTATCGTATGCGCGCGTATTAGAATAGAAGTTTTCTAAAGCTACAACGTTGCAACGTTGTTTATATCGTACGTTCGTCCGCGGCGAGGCAAATATACCGGTGGACTTCGCGGCCCTGCTACACTTACGAAAGATAATAATCGCAAAATGGAGTTTTATAACGCGCTCCGCGAGCTTCATAATACGCATCCGAATACCGAGAAACCATTCGCATAGGTTCAACGCAATATTCAGTGTGCGCTTTTTGGAGAAAAATACGAATCTCTTTTTATTAAATATATATATATAACGAAAATATTTTTTCGAATTTTATCAAAGTTTCCCGTTTTTTGTTACAGAAATTGGAGCACGGAAATACATGCAGCTCGTGAACGTAAGTTTTATTTATCCTTCCTATTTAATTATATTAAATATCTTCGTTGAATGTGAAAAGCGTCGATTTATCACGCTTTGTGTGAATTTCAATAATACGTTAATGACACGGTGTACGAAGAACGAATTGGATAATTATGTTATCTCGACGAGCGATTATCGTGATAAATTAGGGGAAATTAGCCAGCCTGGTAATTTTATAACGTGCCTCGATATTCTAATCTATTCTTATCGCGCTAATATTTAAGCGCGCGTATACAAAATGTATATTTATCCTGTGTTACACGATTAATTATATCGTTACACTTAACATTTATTAGATCGTAAATATCCCGTTATACCTTTTTAATAACAATGTAATCTCAATTAGTAGATTAAAAAAGAAAGGGGATACATAAAAATTCATGAGAATTTTCATTTGCATATTCGATTATATAACGGTTATTAAAAGGAGTTTTGATTCAGTTTGCACAGGTGTGCCGATTGAACGGATGCAAATTTTTGGATGTGGTTAGCACGATGATTGAAGAGCGAAAAGCAGCGATTATCCTAGAAAGAAATTCATTATTCTACTTTAAATTTCCCATAAACGTCTATCGCGTTAAATTTTAACAGAAATAACGGTGGAAAATATTAATTTTTTCGCCATTTTATGGAATCGAAAATTATCGTATCACTCTTCCTTTTAGAATTCATCACAAAAGATGCTGATTACATCGTTCGAGGGCTACGATATCGAACTTATTTTGAGCAATCAGACTTGGGATCATTAAAAATCGTCGACTTGACATCGATTCTTTAACTCAGTGGTTTTAATTGCAACCATTAATAATTTTTACGTTTCCTTCAATCATAAATGGTTATTTGTTACGTTCAATTGTTTTGACTCGAATTATTTATTTATTGCTCGATAGCTAATCAGAAAATAGAATTAAAATTAAGCAAATTAATTGTTTTTAAAAATGTGCTCTTGCTAAAATTATTTAAGCGCGTATACGTAATTATTTTTCATAACAATCGTGTATTTACAAGTTGAACAATTCCAATATTGGGCTTGTATTGCAAAATGATTTTCGATAATCGTAAAACGGGAGATAAAGCAAAATTTCTGGTAAATTAATATTAATTTTTTTAAAAACTTTCAACAATTTTCACAAGCTCTTTTATTTTCAGAACGTCCTGTGATACTCGTTAATTCTGGTATATTTTTATAATTCTTTTTTTCCCTGGGCCGAATAAAAGGGAGAAAAAGATTGGACGACTTGTTTGGCGACAAAATGGAGTATTTTCGTGCACACCTTTCACTCGCAGACGTACACGTTGGGAAATATACTATGGCAGAGATATGTAAATCGCGGGGAGAAAGGTGGGACGAGCGTAGGGAATACTTCACTCTGATGCACTTCTCCCGTGAAACGTATGTTTGCATTTCGTATGGCGCGAATTATTGCCTCGTGTTTTTTGATATATCGCGCGCCATTCTCGTGATAATACGTATATGGGTACATGAGAAAC